CGCAAGGGCCACCGCATCGTTATGTGTGGATGGGTATGCTGGAGGTGCTAGTCAGTGAAGACACGGGCATAGTAGAAAAGAGTACGCAGAGTATCTTTGCCAGGAATACGCAAGTGCAGAAGCCAAGGCCACAGTGATCCATGTGTGCCGGGTCAAGAAAGCTTTCCAGAAGGGCAAAGAGAAAGTGTGTTTCGCAGTGCACGCTTCTGCGGAGCAAGTCTTGAAGCTGTCGGTCGACAAACTGACCGGCAAGGGTGGGGAAGTCAAACGCGGACAGGCCCCCAAAGGAGGCCTGGAGCGCGAACTTCAAACTTTTTTGGACCAGCTAACGGATATGCTGAAGTAGGCTACCTTCTGCAACATGCAGTTTTGATCCAAGCATGCTGGCGACCGACTTGACTCTGTTGCTGTCCTGTTTGCTCGATTTCTGTCTGCATTCTGGGTGAGTGGAGTCGGTTATGTCGCTGTTGCGCCCGTGCCTTCGGGATTGGAGGGACAGCGATGGGCACCAGCAAAGGTGATTATCCCAATAGCGGACTCCGACTCAGCTTTCGTGAACTCACGGGATAGCTGCGAATGAATGTTTATGCATGCAGACATGCATGCATACATGTATGTCATGCTTACATATACTTTCTCTCTCTATATAAACAATTAAACAACATACATAAACACATAAATAAAAGAATAATAAAATAAATAGAAATAAAATAAATGAAATAAATAAGTCAATACATGAATAAAGAAAACATATATATATATATACACACATACATACACACATACACACACACACACACACACATTCGAGTTCAAAGGTTGTGGTGTGGAGCCTTGGCTAGGCAGAACCGGTGGAAACCTCCCTGAGCCTCGCATCCGAATTGCTGCGCTACAGGTTTTTGCTCTGAAGGCTCTGTTACGTCAGAATACCAAACTTTTGGTGGTGCTCCAGGGTTTAGGTTTAGGATTTGGGGATTTGGGGTCTCCTTTTTGCTTTCGAAACCAAATCCAACATGTCGCATGGCGGAAAGCCGGCAGATTCAGCATGCAAGAGCTTCGAACTGCATCTTGTCTCTTGATCAAACAAACGGCATCTAGACTACCACCATGAGGGTAGTTCTCCAAGTTAGGGTCCGTTTTTACGTCCCGAAAACAGTACGGCACCCTAACAGGGACCCTAAATTAGTTGCACAGGAGGCAAAGTTGATGACGCTTTTCGCTGGTAGTGTATGGTTCTGTCAGTGAAGCTACTAGATAGAAAAGCTCAGGATAAATGCGGCCTACATCGCAAACAAAACCACAGGTGTCTCGCATTCTGCTTTCGCCAAGACTTTCGACCGTATAGGCCCTAGCCGGAAATCAGCTTTTCACATGAAGACACCTGCTTGTCGAAGCGTTGCATCATGTCCCGGTGCAACTTCTCCAGAAGCTCCCGCAACTCGAGATCAAAATGGGCCATTTCCTCATACGCTCTTGGGAACTAAGGGGTGAAGCGTGGGTCGGGAAGAACGTAATGGGATGCCAGATTTTTGTCACGAAGCAATACACAAAGTCAAACATCAAGCCTAGAAGCTTGCAGGTTCCGATAGCTTCTGGAGTTACCCTGAAATTTGAGCTAAGCCTCACCCAGGCGAGTGGTGAGAGTATAGCTGTGGGCTTGTCGTGCTTCTTTGGTTGTCGCAACATAGGTATCGGGGCCTTTATAATTAGAATAGGATGCTAGGGTATATTGTATAAATATACTAACGAACCCCTGAAATAGTATTGGTAAGTATTTGGGCCCCTATATTACTTGTCGGATGTGTTTCAATCTTTTGTTGTGCTTTCGGCTTGCATGGAAGAGTCTCCTGAAACGGCCCCGGGGCACATTTGCAGTTTGGTATTTATGCGCTGAAACGGACTCTGGGAAACTCAACAGCAAACGGCGTTAGAGAGTATAACATGTGAAGAACCATCACAAACCGTAGAACGTATAAACCCAAGATCCTACACCTTTATTATCCGGAACTCTATACACAAATCCTGAACCTTTGTTGACCCTCAATCCCAAAGCCAACCCTAACTCTAAACCCTTATCCTTGAACTATAGACACCCAAAGCAGTGCCCAGCCGCTATCCCAGGGCTGGCGGGCAGGGACCGTTTCGGCGGGCTAGGCCGGCCACGGTCTTCCATGCTCAGGGCATTTCCAGGCCCCATGGTCCCAAGATGTCCCAAGTGCTCAAAAGCTTCAGGATGCTTGCATAGAGAGGAGCTCTTGGGAAATTAGACGCTGTTGTGTATGAGTGGGCTTTAGGGTTGAAGGATGGAGGGCTGAGGATGTCCGGCCACGTCGCAGCCTTGGCTTGGCGTGACTCGTTTGCCTGCCCTGCTCTTAAGGGCCACAAAACGTAACAATGGTTATTTATGAGTCGATGCACATACACACCATGAAAATTCAAGATTGTCCTAAAGAAAGTTGCCACCTCGTGCTGACTGTGCGTGGAGCAGTCTTGTGTTCTGTGAAGTGTCGCGTCTGAGGTTAGCGCCGAGATGACGAGACTTGCGAATCTGCGGATAAGTGCGGAACGAGTCCAAGCGGAAGCGGTAATATAAGAGCCTCAATACTTTCATAATTCTTCCGAACGGTTCCTTTGCTACATGAAAGTGATACGATAACGCACCCAATGACCCTATTCTACCCATTGAGGCCCCTCTGTCATGTGCTGTTTATTGCTTACTTCTGTTGGTGTGCCGGGGTTCTCTTTAGGGTTCTGTGTGCGGTTCTCTGTAAGGTTCGCTGTGGCTTCTCTGTAGGGTTCCTGGGAGGGTTCTCTGTAGTGTTCTCTGCAAAGTTCTCTTTAGGGTTCTCTGTAGGGTCCTCTTTAGGTTTCTGTTTTGGGTTCTCTGCAGGTTCTCTGTAAGGTTCTTGGGAGGGTTCTCTGTAAGGGTCTGTTTAGGGTTGTCTGTAGTGTTCTCTGTAGGGTTGTTCTGTAGGTTCAACGGATGTGCAAACTTCTGGGGCTGTAGGGCTGCAATGCCGTGTAAGAGACTCCAGCAGATTGCCATGGCCGCCCGGCACTTTCCTCTTCTCACCATGCATGCAATTAATGTAATTGGAGCCCTAACTCCGGAGCTGACTCATGGATCGTAACATCCAGAGCCGGGCCCAGAGACAGGGACATGTTGGGAGTGTACAGACAGGCAGCAACATGGCGTTCCAAAACAAGGGGTGGCATACAGCAGCGTCGACGTCATGAGATGACATCCGAAGTTCGAGAGTCAGTCCATGTTGCTGCTGGGAGCGCGTAACTTCTACGCTTGATGCTTGAGCATCTTGCGCAGCTGAAACGACCGGATAACCATCTCATGACTGAGATTGTCAGGAATCGAAAGCAACAGGACGAACCTCAACGCAATCACTGAAATGGCAGGTCTGCCAACAGGGACACGAAAATAGTTGTAGGGAAAGACCGCGAAGCAGCTCAGATCAACGAAAACATTGAGGTTTCAAGGGTGGGGGCCAGGGGGGGCGAGGGGGGGCCAAGAAGGCCGAGGCCGGGAGCCAGGGGCCAGAAATGGCGGATGTGTGCCCTCTTTTGCGGTTTTTGGGCTCTGGAAGGCGCACCCCCCTGGCAGACACCCAAATCGGGCAGGGGTCCAGGGCGAATAGAGGACCATCTTAAATACCCCGATCTGTGACCGTGCTCGGATTATCCTGTGAGCTCAGGCAGCACGGTGTGAAACAACAGATTTTTCAAACTGGCCGACTGGTTGGGAGAGTTTCCCAACCTGCAATCCTAATGCCTACCATCAACTACCAATCTAGTTTCCTGTACGTTCCTATTCCAAACCCTAATATAGCATTTACACGGACCATACAGCAAACGTAGGTTTTGGTAGTTCCAGGTACAACCACCTCTGCACATCACAGACTTAAATTAGGATGCAGCAGGTTGAGAAATGGATAATCAATTCGACTGCAACTCGTATGCAGCTCGGGTTCTGAAGTCGGCAAATCCTTAATACTACTTATAGAAACACAAACAATACCACTCGCAATGATCATCATGACATTACTATGATTTACTGAAGAACAAATACTGTCATCACATCCTTGAAATACAAACAGGCTACCATTCGCGGCACCGGCATGCTGCAGGAGAATGCTCCTCTGCGGCTCCGGCCCACTCTTGAAGGTGCCAGCACGTATGTTGCTTGGGCCGTGACTCGGTGAATCAGTAAATCGGAACTGGCGACTGTCTGCTGTCCGAAGACGTCTTCCGGGACGGAAACAACCACTCCCGACGCTTCTGGCTGCTGTCGGAGACAAATGTTATATATATATATATATATATATATATGTACTTGTGTGTATATATATAGTGGGATGGCGCATCAAATGCTTGATTAAATCAACCTGAAAAATATATGTATATATATATATACACACGCATACATGTTTGTATATATATATATATGATTGAAATACCATCGCCTAAAAGTGAAAAACCTGGTGCAACCTCAATGCCATTCTCCAACTTGGGCTTTGGAGGCATCAACTTCCCTCATGAACCCTAAATCCTAAGCCCCGATCCCCAAACACTGATTGAAGGAACCTGTGCCGTGAACGTCCTCCAAAAGCTCCCACTGAGTGATGTAGGTAGATCAGGTGTCGGGTCTCGCGATGCAAAGCCAACGTAAGAGTCTCTCGAATTCAATGAGATTGGGGTGCACGGAGCCTACACCTCCCCATGTCCCTTTGCAAGATAGACAGCAACCAAAAACCGGATTCAACAGAAACGCGTAAACCCTGAGCCCCAAATACAAACTCATCCTCTGAAGCATCTTGCTTTGCTTTAATGTCTTTTGGAGTTGTCCGGGGTTCGGGCTTCCAGCAAGCCATCAAGCCACACCCAACCAACCAGGCCATCCCTTTTCGCGCTAGTCTACCCGAAAGCCATAAAAAAGCCAGAAGCACCGAAAGAATGTTGATCTACTTCCGCCCATCCACTCAGTTCGTCTACAGCATGAGAGCTGGTCCAGCTCGGCCATGCCTTTGCAGAGCGTGTTTCGGAAAAAGGATACAAGAGTATCCAATGGCGTGTAGCCGTAGCAGTCGCAAGAAAGAACATGTCAAACAATAGCAACAAGAGGGAAGCAGATATTATAATGCAAATCGAGAAGAGACAGAGGAAGCGACGCGACGCAGGCACAAGGAAGAGAGAGAGAGAGAGAGAGAGCGCGAGAGATAGAGAGAGAAAGAGAGAGAGAGAGAGAGAGAGCGCGAGCTCGAAAGATCCTCCTTGTGAGATTGCCCTGTAATCGACAGGATGAAATCCTTAGGCAGTCACAGCATGGCCTGAATACTGCAGCCTCGAAGCGTGACAACGGGAGGTGGGAGCTCCGACTTGATACGATTTACTTCGGCTCGGATATGAGGAGGTAGCCGGTGCATGCAGCTCTCAACGAGATGCCTCAGCTCTGACACCGATCTGATGATCCGTCATCCCCAGCCTCCCCAACAACTTCGAGACGCGCAGAGCGGCTTGAACAAGCTTGCGATACTGAAACCTTGCACCATCCCTGAACTTCGAGATCCGAGCCAAGATGCATGAATGACATCCTCATCGGCCGAAACTTCCCTAGGGGAATGGCCTCGGATTGCGGTTTGTAGACTTCCGCCTCGATCAGCTGGAGCAAGCAGCCGACGCGCGGAAGGAGGCCTTCAATCGCCGCCTTTAGGGGTTTAGATGGTTTAGGGGTGTCAGGGTTTACAGGGCTTATAGGGTTTATAGGCCGCCTTCTTGAAGATGAAGGGCAGGAAGGTCGCGAGAAGCTCCTGGTCGCTTGCATCCAAGATACGCTGGCGAAGCTGCCCGTCTGGCTTGCAAACCGCACGGTGTGGGAAATGGCAATAAGCGCATTCCGCTCCCGATGGGCACACTCCACTCTTGGACATGTGCACGCATGGTCTGGTGCAAAAGTGTGGGTGCCCGAAACTGCCGATGCCAAATCGTAAGTTGGCATGACTGGGCTCAGGCACTTCTGGAATCTCTTGGCCCAGGCCTGGCGTGGGAGGAATATTGCCAGGCCGAGAGACTGGGAATGCCGTGTGTTGGCCGGGGTTATGCGCGGGCGCAGTCACGCCTAGAACCTCTAGGCCTGGCGGCGGAGGAATGTTGCGAGGCCACGCGAATGGGAATGTGACCGGGTTTTGGCTTGGGGTGTGCTCCGGGTTTACCGGGGCTGGCATCGGTGGCATCCATCCCAAGGACTGACCTCGGCATCATGCTTCATTCAAGGTTTACAAAAGTATAGGCAGTACAGGCTTTAGGGTTCATGCAGGGTTTGTTAGGCTCACGCATCCAACTCGCTACAGGGCAAGGACTGATGAAGCAAACCCGGGCACTGAAGGGACCTGGCACGCTCGGCGAAGCTGCTGTGATAGAATAGTTTGCAGCCATGGCTTGGAAAGTACGGCAAGGTATGGGAAGGATCGGTGGTGAGCCTGGCTTGGATCGCTCGGCTGAGAGCATCGCGGACACATTGCTTTGGGGCGATCTCATGGTGATCTCAGGAAGACTTGAACCCCACTAACAGCCA